AAAACACCGAGATTGAGACACGTCGATTGAAAGACCTGGACTCCTGTGATTCCTTCAAATAATCTAAATAACCTAATCCTATCCCTAGATCAAGCCAGATTAAGGGAGAACAGACTTTTCTTTTCTTTTTCACTTGCCAGAGGGCGCGTGTGCTCACCAAAGAGACATAGGAAAAAAGAGCAGAAGTAAGAGAGCCACCCCATGAGAAGTGGACGCACCTCAATCTCTTCTCCACCTCTCCCTCCTTCTGGGATTTTGGGCATGTGTGCACATACACCCAGTGTGTTTTTCAAGCAGCAGGGCCTGGGATTTGAATCACACAGTTGGCCACATGGGATCCAGTCACCTTAACCACCAAGCCACCAGCTGGCCCAGAACAAGCATTTTGAATGCGTCTTTTCTTGCCCATCCCACAAGTAGTCATGCTTAGCCACACTGAGGGTCAATATAAAAAGCGGCCTCAAAAAATGTTGCTCATATGTTGTCCTATCTATGAGACCCCCTGGAATCAAAATTACTATTTCAGAGACCAGCAATTGGCGTAATGGCTATGTCACTGTACTCCCAAGTAGTTGACCGCGCTTCGAGTCCCAGACCCAGTGGCTTAAACTCACGCTGGGCGCGTGTGCGTGCGTGCCCAAGATCCCAAGAGGAGAATGGAAGAGAAGGGATTGCAGCATGACCATCCCCCCCGGGAGTGATTTCTCACTCTCTGTCTCTCTCTGTCTTTCTGGCAAACACATGCACCCTATAGCAAAAACCGCTCCAAAAAATTTTACTATTTCATCTTGGTGTTGAAAAAAAATGTACTTTTTCTGAAAAACGCGTCCTTGCTGTAACCTTATAGACAATGTAATAGCTCCCTTTCTGAATGAAAGGGTAGAAAACATAAACCCAAATTTGTGAGCCACCATGGAATAAGTAAATCGGTTTTACGACTACGAATTATTCTTAACCTTACTCCTACTTATTTTTTTTTCCACTGTACACATACTCCTACTTATTTTTAAATAGGACATTTTCTGCCTTAAATGTCACTGTTTGGAGTCTTTAATTTAGACATCATAACCTATAACATTTTTATTTTATATACCCATGTAGGTCATTTAAAGTCCTTCCTAGAAATAAGATGGGAAATATTATTTTGTTTAAAAAAATTCTGTATTTAATATTAATGTAATAAATCTCAAAGACAAAGTTTAACAGACTTGAATGCACAGAAAGAAATCAAAAACTTTTATATTTCAAACACCATAAACAAAATTAAAAGAATTCATAAAACAGGAAAAATATCTGACATAAATAAGAATAAAAGGATTAATGCTCTAAGTAGATGAGTAAATTGCATATATCAGTAAGAAACAAAACTGATGGATAACAACAATGGTTTAAAACATCAATTAAGGGACCAGCAGTTGGCGTAATGGCTATGTTGCTGGACTCCCATACAGTCAACTGTGGTTTGAGTACTGGACCCAGTGGCTTAAACTCATGCCGGGCACATGTGTGTGCGTGCCCAAGATCCCAAGAGAATGGAGGAGAAGGGACTGCGGCATGGCCATCCCCCTGGGGGTAATTTCTTGTCTTCTGTCTCTCTCTGTTTCTGTCTTTCTGGCAAGCACATGCATCGTATAGCAATAACCTCTCCAAAATAATTAAATTAAAAATTAAAAATTTAAATTTAAAAAATCAATCAAGAAATGTGGACATTGAAATTAATTAATTTAAAGAAAACTAAAGGTAATTTAAATTGCTTTCCTAACATAGACTCCTAGAACTGGAATGGACTTTTCCTGTTCAACCCACTAACATTATAGAGGTCAATTTTCTTGCTCAAGTATGTTAAAGGTTGGCACTTATGTCTCCTCATTTCTATATAGAAAGGACAATTCTGGATTTCCCTACTCATTAATCTTCAAGGAAGGAACAGTAAATAGGTAACCTGGTTAGTAGGGCCACATTTCCTTGTGGGTAGAATTCATGTTACAGGTACGTAGACTCTTGCCCTCTGGAACCTGCCTTGCTCAGGTACATAGACATATCCTACCTCTTCAGTCTCCTAAAGGTAAATAATCCATCTCTCCCCATTGCTCTTTGCTCTACTTTTCAGCCTAAGACTGGGTAAATAAGCAAGACCAGGCTCCCTTGCAGATCCGTATTTCCAGGAAACCTACGTGGCCGATCTAGCCTCATCTTCCAATATAGGAAGCTTTCATCTAAAACTCTTTGGTGGGGGATTTCCTGCAAACTTGTCCCTATCAATAAGGCTAATACTCTACTTCTCATTTGTCTGTTTATTCTTTGTAACCACAGCTGCAAAGGAAGGGTAAGATGGGGAAACCCCTAGCCTAGTACTTCAGATTCCACGTGGCCAACCACAGTGTAAATCTTGACCCCAGTGGCTTGAAAAGCACACCTAGTGGTGTGTGTGTGTGTGTGTGTGTGTGTGTGCATGTGCACCCAACATTTCAACAGGTTGGATAAATGGAGAAGGGATTATGGTGTGACCAAGTCCCATTGGGGGATTCTTTCTCTTTCTCTCTGTCTCTTTCTGGTGAGAAATTTAAAAATAAATATATTTTTTAAAGAAAGAAAGAAAAAATTTTTAAGAAAGAAATAGAAAATTGATTCAGTCTCTCCCACCTGCAAAATGTGGATATACTGATTGTGACCTTCAGTATAAAGACAAGAGTGGCCACAGGGGAGCAAAGTACCATGGGGAAAGAAGTCTCAGTCTTTGCAGCATGAATTCAGGAATAGATGAGGTAGATATCTGGTTAAACACTCAGGTTTGGGACCACCAAATGGCATCATGGTTACGCCACTGGACTCACACCTGGGTGGAAGTCCCACAGTTCAAGTCCTGGACCCAGAGGCCTGAAACTCACATCGCACACACATGCCTGCATGTCCAGAATCCTGAGAGGAGAATGGAGGAGATGGGATTGCTGTGTGGCCATCTCCCATGTGAAGGGATTTCTTGCTTTCTGTCTTTCGGTCTCTGTCTGGCGAGTACATGTACCCTACAGCAAAAATCTCTCTCTCAAAAAAAAAAAAAAAAAGCCACCCAGGTTTTACATAAGCAGAGAAAATTATTTTAGCTAACACTTTTTTATTTTTGCCCTGCCTACAAGTGGGGGCTTTCAGATACCCACAAGTAGTTTAGAAACATACTATTCAAGGGCTGAGAACTTGCTAGAAAGAATGTGGGGTCCTTAATCCAGACCTACTAAGTCAGAATCTCTGGGATGGAGTTCAGAGAGAAACAGAGAGACAGAAAGCAAGAAATCATCCCTCCCGGGGGGGGGATGACCACGCTGCAATCCCTTCTCCATTCTCTCTGGATCTTGGGCATGCATGCACACACACCTGGCATGAGTTTAAGCCACTGGATCCGGGATTCAAACCACAGTCAACTACATGGGAGTCCAGCAACATAGCCATTGCGTCAATTGCTAGTCCCTCCAGCATGAGTTTTAAGCTGCCAAGTCCAGGACTCAAACCACAGTCAACTATGTGAGAGTTCAGCAACGTAACCATTACACCATCTGCTGGTCCCTAAAAGATCTTTTAAAAAAAGATTTCTAGGATGCAGCAGCTGGAATACATTCTTAATTTCCATAAATTACTCTGGCTAAGATTCAGCAGAGAAGACACTGGAGAGAAAGCATTTGGAACTTCAATGTCTTTACTGTTTAATTTAGAAGGGGAAATGGGTTTGGGTTTTAGATTTTCACTTCTCTGAGAATGTAATCATGGGAGGGAATTCATATTCCAATGGTGAGCACTATTATGCAGCTGGAAATACATTTTGGGGTGAGGTTTGTGATGACAGGAGGTGTTCACTGTGCAGTTGATACACAGAGGACAAGACGGCCAGGCATAGTCTGGGTTGGAAAACAGAACACAACGTGTATTTTCAGTCCCAGCCTGGTGGTGCAGTTGGTAGCAAATTGAACTGCACGGCCAGAAGCCACAAGGCCAACTGCAATTTGGATCCCTGGGTCAGCCTAAATATAAACCAGGTATATGCACCACGTGCCTGAGAGTCTCAGGGGGTACAGGACCAGACAAAAGGCATGACAAGACCCCATCAGTGGTCCTGTTCTCTCTCACTCTCTTTCTCTCACATTTCTATCATGAATAAAATTAACTTTTTTTAAAACACAAACTAGCCTTAAATGTTGCATGGCCCTCACTAGTATCTAATGCATTTCAGAGTCTTCTAAGTGCAAAGACCAAAATGCCTACCCTTGACTCACTAAGAGCCGTGGTGACAGTCGGAACAAGGCCTCGGGTAGGTAAGAGGAGGACCTAACTACTCTACTGCTTTCCTTCAAAGGGAAAGCCTCCTTTCCTGGTTGCCCATAAATTTACTAAGCCCAAAGCTTTAAAGAACAAAAGAAATTCTGCATCCCTTCCCACTAGAGGGAGCTGTGGAGTTGATACAGTGGGCCACTACATGGCTTCCTCAAAAGGCCATGAGGGAAGAGTTCTAAGGAGCCTGATCTTAGTTAGGCCATTGTTTTCTATGTCAAGTTAATGTGCTTACACATGGCCCAGTCAAGAGGCCTCTTTGTCCTGTGAGTCTGACACAGCGGGGCTCGCAGTTTCTGAACTCTCCCGTAGTTGGCTCACTGCTTCTGACCTCCTGCTAGTTGGTTCTTACTGTAATGAAAACCCTTCGGTTAGGGCTCAGCCATCTTAAATTTAGGGTGAGGGGTAAAACACCTCACAGAATTCTCAAGCTAGGGTTACCAGGGAATCCTGAATAAAGCTTCCCATTCTTGGTCTGTACCTTCTAAGAGTAGGAACTCGGTAAGGAAGGGACTCAGAGGTAAAATTCAGAACCCAAGGTGAAGTTGACAGCTTCTTCAAGTGAGAAGCCAAGTCTCCTATCTCTCAGACTAGCATTCTTCATGCTCCCCACAGTGTACATGTCCATGCGCTTATATAACTTGTTGTCCAGAGGTAGAAAACAGAAGGCCGTCTACACCCACCTGCTGGTGCAGTCACTGTGGTTACTTGCAGCGAATGATGCTCAGGAGAGCCCAGTAGAGTGACAGTCACTGTATAAGCAGTTGTCGGGTACAGATCCAAACACAGGACCGGAGCGCATTCCTTCGTTGTGAAGTTAAATGATGTCACATGGTAAAAGTCATGCAGATACCACCTTCGACCCAGAACTTTAATCTGTCATGAGATTTAAAGAAAGTTGTATTACATGTTCTGTTTGCTTGTAGATATCTGTACTGCAAGCAAAATAGAAACGAAGCATTGTTTTCCCTATTTTTAGAAGCTAACCTAAGGAAGGACTTTACAAAGCTACCTTACCTATCCCATTCAAACTCACTCTTAACCAGGTATAGGAGGAAGCTTAAAATGCACAATTGCAGGTCAGCCAGGTGGTGTGGTGGTGAAGGCAGCTTGATCCCACATGGCTGACTGTGCTGTTCAAATTCCAGACCTAGTGGCTTAAAAAACACACTAGACATGTGTGTGTGTATGCCTAAAACCCCAAGGGGAGAAGGGATTATAGTGTGACCTTCCCCTGGGGGTGCTTTCTCACTCTCTCTCTCCAGAGAGTACATGCACCTTACAGAAGAAAAGAGAAAGAAAAAAAAAGCAAAACCACATCTCAAGTAAATATCAGGCTGTTTTCAAGTAATCCCTTGGTGCTCACCTAATTGAAAGAAATTGCTCTAGAGTATTGAGCAAAATTATTTTATTTATTAACTTTGTCAGTGCAAGGAGGAATCCACAAACAAGCCTCCTCGAACAGAGTATTTAAACTTCATGAGGACGACCCCATATCGTACATGTAAAGCAACTGTGCAAGGGCACTTCACTTGACCCTCCCTGTTAGAGCTCTGGTAAAAGAACTTTTGATCCAGGAAGTCCTCACACATGCCGTTAACCCATCACACTCTACCCAACTAAGAAGCAGGCACAGGGAGTTCATCATAGGGAAAAACCTTGGTGAAAGTTCCAGAAGCAGGATGATTGCCCTGGTGTGCTTTAGTTGGTGGAGATGCCCACATGTTTAGTGGTTCCACTGACTCTCGTGCCATTGGCTATGTCACCCACAAGCCCCCTCTTCACTGTCAATCACCAACTCTTCCCCATTAATCTCCCATGGTCATCCAAGACCTTGACACCTGGTTTGTAATGATTGCTCTCACAAGTAACTCCTCACAATCTATTGAATAACTTGATGGTCCTTATAAACAATTAGCAAAACTGGGCCCTCGAGTTCCCTGAGCTCAACTCCTTGAACCTCTTCCACACCACTTCAGCCACCCATATCCATGGCCACACTCTACACTGGTTATCATCAAAGCTACCCTCCAAGATCTCACAGCCAGCTCTTTTTCTGGACCACATACCAGTACGGCATAATATGTTCATGTGTGTATGAGAAATACCTGTATTCTCTTTTGCAAACTGCTTTTGAATGTCCACTTTTTCCCAATAGATTTTTTAATGTTTTTTTTTTTGAAGAGGTTTTTGCTACAGAGTGCATGCGCTCGCCAGACAGACAGACAGAGACAGAGAGACAGAAAGCGAGAAATCACCCCCCAGGGAGGATGGCCACGCCACAATCCCTTCTCCTCCATTCTCCTCTCAGGATCTTGGGCACGCACGCACACGCGCCTGGCGTGAGTTTAAGCCACCGGGTCCGGGACACGAACCACAGTCAACTACGTGGAAGTCCAGCGACATAGCCATTACCCTAACTGCTGGTCCCCCCAATAAATTTAAGAGTATTTCACATGTTACATAATAACTGTTAAACATAATTTTAACAAAACTTTTTTTTTTCAAAATCATTTATTTTTCTTAACCAAGTATAATATTCAACCAATTGCCCTAGAACTATTCATTGAAGAAAACTTCCTTGGTCTTCTGATTTGAAAAATCACCTTTATTATATATTAAATTATTTAGATAACTTGAATGTGTTTCTAACCCACTGTTCTTTCCAATGTGGAAATCTGGATATTTCACTTGCCTGTTAAAATCCTTCAGTGATGGGACCAGCAGATGGAATAATGGCTATGTCGCTAAACTCTCATGTAGTCAACCACGGTTTGACTGGTGGCTTAAACTCACGCCAGGCGCGTGTGCATGCGTGCCCAAGATCCCGAGAGGAGAATGGAGGAGAAGGAATTGCGGCGTGGTCATCCCCCCTGGGGGGTGATTTCTTGCTTTCTGTCCCTCTGTCTCTCTCTGTCTTTCTGGAGATTGCACGTGCCCTATAGCAAAAACCTCTCCAATAAATAAATAAATAAATAAATATCCTTCAGTGACTCCACATGGACATCAAAATAAAATCCAAACTCCAAAGCATAGCATACAGGGTTTTTAGCGATCTGACCACTGCTTAGAGTTTTGCCTCTTTTCTTCCTATTCCCCTTTGCTTTCTTTTCTCTTTTTCTTTTAATTTTTTTAGAATTATTTACTTTTTAAAAAAATTATTCATTAATTTATTTTAACTTGACTGAAGAGAGAGAGCGAGAAAGAGGGAAATTGAGAAAACAAGCCACCAGGTCCAGGACTCAAACCATGGTCAGCCATGCGGAAGTCCAGTGCTCTAAACACCACACCACCTGCTGGCCTCGAGCTAATTAACTTTCATTTAAAACTGAGTCTACTCTCTGCCAAATTGATGTGGCGCAACCCAGAACTTGTGAGCAACTAAAGCAACCCAGGGCTGATAGCTACCTGGGCTTTCTGATCCCCAGTTCAGGGGAGGGACAGCTAGCTTGCCCTGGTGTGCTTTAGTTAGTGGAGATGCCCACATGTTTAGTGGTTCCACTGACTCTCGTGCCATTGGCTATGTCACCCACAAGCCCCCTCTTCACAAGCTAGCTTGCTGTCCCTCCCCTAACTATTGAGCGGCCAGAGGCTTTGAGCAGGATGAAACATGCTTCTCTGTCAGCTCTGTATTAGGGTGGACACTGAGTCCCTTTTCCCTGATAGGACACTCCAAGCTTGCCAAAACTGTCCCTTCCCAATAAACCCATAAAAGACTGTATCCAACTCAGCTGGGGCCAGAGATTCAGAGTATTAACTCCTCTGTGCCCCTGATGCAATAAACAGTTCTCCTTTCTCTCTGGAGTGCTGCATTTCATTCCTCGGCATCTGCTTTTCCACAAAAAAATGACTTGTTAGGCACAAAAATAAATATCACTCTGCCCAGATTTATTGTGTCATTGGGAAAGTCATTACACATTTTTGCATAGAAAAACATAGGCAAATACTTGTGACTTTCCTGACAACCTAAGATTTATCATTTTATCCAGGGTGTTAAAAAAAAAAAAAAAAAAAAAAAAAAAAAAAACCAAGTGAAATGAGGGTCAATAGCTATTCAATGAGTTTCTTAAAACTCACATCCAAATGTGAATTTGATGACCACATAAGCTGTAATGTTTCTTTTAATTTGGTAGATGGTGCATCACTTATTGGAGAGAGAGAGAAAAAGGGAGAAAGCACCCCAGCACGGGAGATGGTCATACTTCCCTCTCCTCCGTTCTCCTTTCAGGATTGTGGGCGCGCGTGCACACACACACATACACACTCACACATGCACATGCACCCAGCATGTTTTCAACCCATCAGGGTCAGGACTTGAACCACACAGTTGACCATGGGAGATACAGTTGCCTTAACCAGTATGCCATTGGATGGCCCAGCTGTAATTATTAAATGAACTAAAATAAAATATAAATGTGAAATATCAGGCAGAAAAAATGACAACAAGTCACCAAATACAGTCTTTGGTCAGTTTAGTCCCTTATTAACATCCATTTCACGTCTATGTCTAGAAGCAACAATGACAAACTGTCCAGAAGTTCATTCTATTAGTAGTTTTTTACTACTTTGGATCCTCACTTGGAGGTCACTCAAATTTTAAGTGGCACAATTCTTTGACAGATAGCATAAGAGATCTTCTTACTTGGTATATCCGTTCTGATCCAACTTTCCTAGAATGCCTGTTCAATTTCAAACACGTTTCATTAAATATTGATACATTGAAAATTCCATCATCTTCTAAGAGAGCATCTTCTAAAAGATAAGAGAGAACATACAGAAAGGTTGCATCATCTTGGCTAAACATATCACGGCTGAACACAAGTTAGACTGACATCTTACAAGAACCCATAGGGTGTTTAGCAGGAAGAACATTAAATCTGGCACCAGCAGACTTAACTTTAAGTCCTGGCTCCACTTAGCTAAGTCACTGGACTCCCTGGTGCCGGGGTCCAGCCTCGGCGTGGGTGGGTTATCTCGAACCTCAGTTTCCTTATTGGTGAAGTTAAGTAACCCATCTTGTTTTTCTTATGTTATAGGATGTTGAAAGAATCAAATAAAATATTTTAAAAGTGCTATAAATTAATAAAGTTGTGATATTTTTAGAAAGTTAGTCCTAGGGCTGGCAGGTGGTGTGGTGGTTAAGGGCACTGGACTCCCACATGGCCGACCATAATTTAAGTCCTGGACCTGGTAAATAAATAAATAAATAAATAAATAGAAGAAAGTTAGTCCTATCACTTGAATGGTCCATAGTAAAATGTCATGACAAAGCCCAGGCTGGTGACACAGTCAGTAACGTACTGAACTGCCATGGAAGCCACATGGCCAGCTGCAAGTTTGAATCCCTGGTCTGGTCAGTCTGAGGCATGTGGCTGTCCATGGGCACCCAAGATCCTGACAAGCTGGTGCTCTGAGGAAGGGAAATCATAGTGTGACAAGATCCTGTCAAAGGTGCTTGTGCCCTACCCCCACACATACACACACACACATTCTCTATCACAAATAAAAATAAAAAGTGTAAAATGTCAGGAAGGTAAGCATACCAGTAGCCAAAAAATCTGAGAATTAAAAAAAAAAAGGTAAATAAAAATCAAAGACCATTAGAACCCTCAAGCAGGTACTTTCCAATCTAGAAAATGCCCAAAAAGTAGATGACCAGGGACAAAGATACTTGCTTTCACAGCAGACAGTATTTCAAGAGGTAGTCAGATAAGTAGTAAAGCAATAAAATAATCAGAAAGCAGACTTATTTCAACCGTTGTATAGTAAAAATGTCACTTCATACCTTCGGTGAATCAATTCATTCCTTCAATGTTCTCGTTTCTTAATGTAGTCAAAAGAAGAGATTCGTTACTAATGAATTAAACTCAGAGAGTCCAAGAATAACATGGATAATTTTCAAGGAAAAGAACATTTCCTCATAAACAAGGCTGGACATTTTCTTTCTTTCTTTCTTTTTTTTTTTTTTTTGAGAGGTGTTTGCTATAGGGCGCGTGTGCTCACCAGAAAGACAGAGACAGAGAGACAGAAAGCGAGAAATCACTCCCAGGGGGGCTGGCTACGCGCAATCCCTTCTCCTCCATTCTCCTTTCGGGATCTTGGGCACGCACACACATGCGCCCGGTGTGAGTTTAAGCCACCAGGTCCGGGACTCAAATCACAGTCGACTACATGGGAGTCCAGCGACACAGCCATTACGCCAACTGCTGGTCCAAAGGCTATACATTTTCTATCAATGGAAAAATGTTTTACTGTCAGACAGAAGCTATTTTATAACTATCTTTAATGAGTATTTCTCCCATGGGAGCCTCTGCTACCTAGGGATGAATAATGATAACAATAAAGCATTCCAGTCACAATCAGAATCGTCCACGGCATTTTCAGTATCACTAACACGCAGCACAAGGCCATTAGCTGGGAGAACATTTTCCTGGCTATAACTGGAAAATGCAAAAATATGGTTATGAGAGAGAATTTGAAGACCTATCATCTGTGCTCTCCTTCATTCTCACAACTTTTATTTTAAAGATTTTATAAGGACATCAGAAACAAAAATTGCCACATGCATGCATAATGATTTAGAGGAATACCAAATGTATGTAGACAAGAAATGCCCAGATTTATATAAGAAACACCACCTAAAGTATACGTCAGTACACCGACGGTGCGGAAGTGGCAGCACCGCCTGCATCGTTCCCATCTCAGTACGACTTCCACACAAGGCAGACATCAGGTCTGAACTCAGGGGGAGAAGGCAATGTGAACAAAGGCATCTGGCTCCCACCTCCCACACCGGATCCTGACAGAACTGACTGAGAAAAAGGAAAAAATGGGTCAAAATTTGCATCTGGGTTGGAAAGCAGGGTCGGTTGCCATACACAAGGCAGAAACATGAAGACATTTCTGCTTAGCAGTGCATGAGACCAGGCTAAAGAAAGACACCAAGAGCTACTAATGGACTCGCCCTGCAAGCAAAGGAACTGGAGGAGAACTGTTGCCCGTGGAGGAAGCAAGCGGGCCTGGAACAAATCACCGAGGACTGGTGCACAAGGGACCATTTAGCCCAGTGGTTCCCGAACCCAACTGCACAGCAGAAGCCTCTGGGTACAGTGGATCTGAAGTAAAGCTTGCACGTCTAAAGCTCACTTAAAGTTCACAAGGCAGATCTGACATGGATAGGTAGATAAACAGGGGGAAGGAGAGGGAGATTGCACTTAGGAAGCAAAGAATGAGTATAATTTAGAAAAAAAATGAGCAAAGTAATGGTAAAATTAGGCAGTATCTATTTTGTACTTTCAATTAAAAATTCTATTTTTTTTTTTTTTAATTTTAGAGACATTTTTGCTATAGGGCACATGTGCTTGCCAGAGAAACAGAAAGTAAGAAATCACCACCACCACCACCCCCAGGGGATGGCCACACTCCAATCCCTTTTTTCTCTGTTCTCTTCTCGGGATCTTGGGCACACACGCACTGGTACCCAGCATGTTTTAAGCCACGAGCTCTGAGACTCAAACCTTAGTTGACTGCCTGGGAGTACAGCAACGTAACCATTACGCCATCTGCTGGTCCCAAAAAAGTATTTTTAAATGGATTCGTATAAGGGAAAAAGGATGAGATGATAAGAGAATGTGATAGCTGAGAGAAATCTGGTAGAAAGAGGCAGAAACAAAAAGAGAACTAGATGAGTCCCCCTCCCCCCAAAAGAGGAAGCAAAAGTGCAATCACAGAATTTAAAGAGAGCTAGAAAGAGTGAAGATCAGCCTCAGCCTTAGTAGCACGAGCTGGTTGGGACTGCTGCTCAGTGAGCTGAGGCCACAAGGGGACCCACATTAGGGACCAGCAGATGGTGTAATGATTACGTTGCTGGACTCTCATGTAGACAACAGTGGTTCGAGTCCTGGACCCAGTGGCCTAAATTCACACCAGGCATGTGTGCGTGCTTGCCCAAAATCCCAAGAGGAGAATGGAGGAGAAGGGATTTCAGTATGGCCATTCTCCCTGGGTGATGATTTCTTGCTTTCTGTCTCTCTGCCTCTCCAGTGAGCACATGTGTCCTATAGCAAAAATCTCTCTCCAAAAAAAAGAAAGGAGCTGGGAGGGCCTAGGGTTAACTCCTAGCCTACCCAAAAGGCCCCGTGGTGCGCACCTGTAGTCCCAGCTATTTGGAAGGCTCACAATGTAGCAGAGAGTCGAAAAGAAAAAGAAACAGTAAAGATCGGAAATGTCAGCGCATAGAGTATGCATATAAATATAGAGAGAGAACAAACCTGTCACATACTCACAGGAGGTAGAAGAAATGTGTGAATCTTTGGACAAGCAGAGAGTCACCTGAAGCACACATGGACTAACTACTTGGGACACAGAGATCTGAGCCAAGAAGGAGAGGGAGAGGCCATACCAGGTATGCACCTGCTAAGCCTCTCACGTCTTCCGTATGTATAAGGGCAAAGGAGGAAGGAAAGTTATTTTTTAGAGAAAGTTGTAAAAACAACTTTTTGGGGGACCAGCATTAGCATAATGGCTATGTCACTGGACTCCCATGTAGTTGACCGCAGTTCAAGTCCTGAACCAGGCTGTTTAAACTCACACCAGGTGCGTGTGCCTACGTGCCCAAGATCCCGAGAGGAGAATGGAGAAGAAGGGATTGCGGCGTGGCCATCCCCCCTGGGGGGTGATTTCTCACTTTCTGTCTCTCTGTCTCTCTCTGTCTGTGTGACGAGCACACATGCCCTATAGCAAAAACCTCTCAATAAATAAATAAATAAATAAATAAATAAATAAATAAATAAAAAGAGAAATTTGTTTTTTAGAGAATTAAAAAAATAGGGGGATTTCCAGAATATGTTGGCTTTGGTATTGATTAGGGGGTAAGACTAAATGATGCCAGAGGCTGGACAGAACACCTTGGAATCTGGAACAGTACATTTATCAGATCACACACCCATCTAACGGTCTCCCAGTGTTTCCATGCAAGAAGGCCACATTCCCGAGCACGCAATCACTCATTCACTCAGAATCGACAGATCCATGGTTTTCTGGAAGCATGGTGTTCCTGCTGTTCTCTAACAGAAAAAGACATCCACATGAAAAAGGAGAAAATGAAAAACCAATGTGAATGGACAGGAAGTTCCACACTGGGGCATGTGAAGAGGAAAAATCAAATGTTCTCCATATATAGATAGGTTGAAATCTGGAGACCAAAAACCTCATAGGGAAACTGAGTGAAAAGCATCAACACTTATATACCCTCTTCTCATGAGAGAAATTTCTGTCTATGCACTATTGAATTCTCAATGCCTAAAACAATATCAGACACACGGAAGGTGGTCTATGAACATTTATCAGGAGCTCGAATAAATTATTAATGTCTTGGATTTTTAAAAAATAATTATTTATTTAATTTTACTTATTATTATTATTTTTTAATTTGCTATAGTGCACAAGCCCTCACCAGAGAGGCAGAGAGACAGAGAGAGAGAGAGAGGGAAAGTGAGAAAGCAAGCTGCCAGGTCTAGGACTCGAACCACGGTTGGCCATGTGGGAGTGGGGGCGGTGATTTCTCACTTTCCCTCTCTAGCAAGCATGCACACTCTATAGTACAAAACTATTAAAAAATAAAATAAAAATTTAAAAATAATTTTTTTTCCCAGAAAGGCTCTCAACATACTCTATCTCCAAGAGTACATCTACAGCAATATTATCCAGATAGGCCCTAAGAAGAAAAAAAGAAAAAGCAGACAAAGGCATAT